ATCGGCACCATTATTGCCAACATTCCTCCCTTTTTGTTTGTTTAAGGAAGGGGGGCCTTGTGTTCGCTCTGGCTTCTTCGAGCTGGCAAGGGGAAGTACAGGGGAAGGGAGGGTTAGTTGGCAAACAGCGGGGTGGTGAGTCTCATGATGGCATACACCCAGGCTCTGAAAATGAAAATTTCCTCTTCCCTGAAGTTGATGAAGGTCCCTTGCAGCCACAGGTCATAAAGAGTCTCGAGCCAATCCTTTGGGCTCCATTTGGTGGGTGTTAGCCATCCATCTTCATGTAGGAAATTGAGGAATTGTAGCAGGCATTCTGTGAGGGGTTCATGATGCTTATAACCCAGTGTCCTGGTAGGGTCCTTTATAGGTGTCCTCTGGTTGTGCTATCAGGGGTTGGTATCCTTTAAGGAGAAGTTGGTTAAAGGTTTGGTTAGAAATTTTGTTGACCTGGGTTTATAGAAACTTTAACAGACAAGGTAGGAGGGTGCAAAAGGCAATCAGCATGAATATAGGTCTGAGGAGGGGTAAGAGCCAAGCAAGGAGAGAAGAGTGTAGTAGGTCTGTCAAGCTATTTGTTGTGGGCTTTCTTAGGCGATCCTTGGCCAAGTCTGTTAATTTTCACATTTTGTTTCACCAGCCCCGACTCATTGATATAGTAGCAGCATTCCTCCCGGAGGAAGAAGCAGGTGCCCCCTTTCTCAGCCGTTAAGAGGTCTAGGACCCAGCAATTTTGTAGAACCACCTGGGCTAGGGAAGTGAGCTGACATTGAAGGGAGGCCAATGAGGCTGAGGTGGATTCAAGGGTGATCTGTAAGTGAACCTCAAATTCTTTTGCCGAAATGAAACTGTGGCCGAGGGCTCCCTCTGTGAAACCTGCCACAGCAACAGAGGTGGCCAGGCTGACACCAACCATGATCAGTAAGAAGGTGGCCCGCCTCTGTCAGGGTGCGTACAACCATGAGAATTCTGCCTCTCCATATAGGGTTAGTTGAGGAACCATGGCCACCAGTATGCAGGGTCCGGGGGTAGTCTGATTTATGCAGGAGTATAAAGAATTATGACACCAGAAATGTAACCCTGGAGGGGAAGCCACATGTCCTGTAATCATAACATTAGTATGACAGTAGAGGGAAAAGTTGGTCAGGGCTGTTGAGGAATGAACGTAGCAGGTGTGAGAGGGAGGAGGATTTTGTGTGGAGTCAGGAGGTTCCCATAAAGGTACAGAGGGTAAGGAAGGGGCACATATCGAGTGATTCATCTGTTGGACAAGGGAGGCATTAATAGGAACAGTGGCCAACAATGGACGTTGGAGGGAAACACAGAGGAAGCATCCAGTGACATTTAGGCTGTTGGTAGCATTTAGGAGCCATATAGAAGCATGGATCAGTTTAATCCATTTAGGAAGATCTGTGGATGTTGGGAGTTGTTCCTGAAGTTTCTTTTCTGACTGGAGAATGTTAGAGGTTATTAGTTTCGGTGTCTTAGTGGGCATGGTTTATTCCCTAGATATCTCTATGGTGGCTGAGGGGCGTGAGGAGTCACCCCGGGCATATATTTTTGCCTGTTCCCCTTGTACCCATCTGATGTGCCAGGGGTCGGGGATATGAAGTATGGTAGTCCTATTTTCTCCTACATAAAGGTGAAACTGGTTGTGTGGCCCCCTTGGAGAGCCCAACCCAGCGGATCTTGCCAGACCAGTAGGGGCATCCCCCATAATCCTGGGTATATGGTGCTCCCCGTTTGCAGTAATCTCAGGTTTGGGTGAAGAAGGGACAAGCATAAACAAAGGAGCCACCCTTCAAGGAGGTAGTTGATCTCGGAGTTGGTATGTCAATGGAAGTCTGGCACCCCTTGGGGCTGCAGTCAGAGGTGCCAATGAGACTAGTAATCAAGGTCTGTCCAAGGACATAGGTTTCCCATACCTTAAATCTCCAAAAATATCCTCCGGTGTTGGCCAGTTTCCCAACATGTAAGAGATTGAGAAGGGAGAGCAGGGCAAGAAAGTTATGATGCATCTTCAGGGATAGGGGAGGGGATACGAAAACAAGAGATGCGAATTTTTAAGGGGTTTTCAGGGGACGGGGTGCAGATGAAACTAGGAGAGGAGGCAGGGAGTGGAGATGAGGGACAGGTAGGATCAGTCTGCTGTTCTTCCTGGGAGGGTCTGGCTGGCTTTAGCCTAGAAACTTGAATCCAAGATGTTAGTTTTCCTGGGGTTTCCTCTAACCAGGCTGTGGTAGGAGTACAGAGGATGATTTTTAGGGGCCCTTTCCATTTTGGGGTATGGGGTTTCTTTTCAGGGAAAGGAGGAGAGAAGTAGACCCAGTCCTCTGGGTTTAGAGGGAAAGAGAGGTGGGAGTGTGAGGGGTCAGGAGACAAGGTGTCATAATGTCTCCATAGTTGGGTTCGAAGGAAAGAGAGAAGGGGGAAGGCGAGGTGTCCTGGGAGGGGGCCCAGGGAGGAGGTGATTCCTGGAAGCAGAGCTGGGCGACCGAACATCACCTCAAAAGGGGATATTTGTGTGGGTTTCTTTGGGAGTACCCATAGACGGAAGAGGGCTAGTGGAAGGAGTTGAACCCAATCCAGGTGTAGTTCAACTACACCAGGTGAGTTTAGTGAGAACCTCCTTTAAAGGAGGAATGTTGGCAATAATGGCGCTGATAGGTTTCGGTTCTTACTGCACCCTTAAGTTTTTTGAGAGGTGCTGCCATTGGGGGAACCCATTGAGCTTGACACCAGTGGGTGTCATGAGAATGACCAGATGAGGGCTGGTCCATCGAAGTCCCAATGGAGAGGGTAGAAGATCCTTTTAGAAGAACAAGATGCCCTGGTTTAACAGAAATTGTTATAGGGTGGGCAGGATCTGGTCTGCATGCTCTCTGAGAAGTTCCCTGAGAAGGCAGGTAGTCAGCCAGAGGAACAGAGTCTGTTGGAGGCAAGTTTTCTAAGAGAAATGGGTGGCCATACATTAACTAAGACCCAAATAGGAATATTAGGAGGAGCATAAAAAGGTGTCTGCGCAGGGACTACATACCTAGGGTCTAAATTCTGCAAAATCCTATAACTGCCAGGAAAGCTGTAAGCTGTCTTATGGTATGGGGGTTGGGAAATGGAAGATTGGGTTGATACATTTATGACTCAGGGAGTGAATCTGTCCCTTTAAGGCCACACCTAGGTAGGTGACCTATGGGAGGCAGGGGCTGTCAGGATTTAAATGTAACACTCTTGGATAAAAGAGAGCTTTAGCTCATTATTTTATATAAATTGACACTTTTAACTTTTTAAATAGTTGTACCATATTTAAAGTATAACATAACACTGTTACAAGGTGGTCATTTAAGACACATAAGCAATTATGTAAATGAACTCTGATTTAGTAGTACTTAAAGCTTGACAAGATCAGCAGAAAATACAAATAATTTCTTTGATAAAATCTTTCTCTGTGACGGTTTTTTTGTAGATGTTACTCAGAGCAGAACAACAGCACCAAATGTAGGCCCCAAAGTGACCATGTGGAGAGGAGTGATCTGGCCAAGAGATTCGTTATTGCCCACCAGGCAAGGAGCAAGCCACATGGGAGAGACAGAGAGCCAAGAGGGAGAGAGAGAGAGAAGGGCAGGGGCTTAAATACCCCTGAGTGAGACTTGGCACGATCTGATTGGTTAAGGTCGTATGATTCATGCTGATTGGAGGAAGGGGCAGAAGGGAAATTTAAGCTAAACATGAGGCAAGACCCATGACCAAGGGAAACACAAACTTAAGAGTGCAGTAAGAACTGAAAACTATCAGCGCCATTATTGCCAACAATATACACGCATGATTATTCTAGTCCTTTGCATTTCCATGTAAATTTTAGAATCAGGCTATTAATTTCTACAGGGAATAAAGCCTTTGGTATTTTGATTGGGATTGCATTGAGTTTCTATAAATCGAGAAAGAATCGATTTCATTAGATGATCACACAGCTTTTGCTAAATTTATCCCTATTTTATATTTTATGTCATTATGAATGTTATTGCTTTTAAAATTCAATTTCTGATTGCTCATTGCTAGTATATAGGAATATGATTGAGTTTGCATATTAACTTTGAAATCTAGAACCTTGCTAAACTTTCTTGTTCTGTAACTTTTTAATGGATTCCTTAGGATGCAGAATAAGCATATACCTAGAAACATGTACACAAACACCAAAAATAGTTGTTCAAGAGTTCAAACTATCTCTGGAAACAAGACTAGACAGTAGAGTTGTTCTTAGTTTTTATACCATTTGGCTTTTTAAAGTGTGCACATTATTTTAGTAGAAGTAAAAATCAATTCATTCATTCATGTTTACAAAAATAAATCCTCTCACCTAGAGATTAATCATTTATTTGTTTTAGTTACAGCTCTTTGATTCAGCTGGGAACTTTTTTCTTTTGTATTTCCTTTTTTGGTGCATGATGGGCAAACACCTGGAAGTGTCTGTTTTCCTCTCAAATAGGCAACTAACTCATCCTAGCACAATTTATTGATTAGTCCTTATTTACTCCCCAAAATCATTTGAGTACTCTTAAGTCACACTGGGATGTTTCCACACCACCTGCCCTCGCCTTGGGACCTCCCTGATTGGAGCTGCAGGGAGTTCACCTATGGTAAAGGTCATTCAAGTTCACCGTGGTGAGGGTCACTCAGGGAAAACACTGCAATGGGGCCGAGGTTTGTAAAAGCAGGTGGCTTGGCTTGTAAATGCGTGTTCTGGACGGCTCTGGGAGTGGGTAGATGGGTGCTGAAAACGCAACAGTGCCTTAGATAACTCTCGCTGTCCTTTGGGAGGATACGGGACGCTCTGCAAGCTGCCAGCTCACCAGAGACCAACGCCACTCGCGGAGACCAGTGGCAAAGACCGGGTGGCACTCGCTTTGATTTAAGGCCCCGGAGCCAGCACCGGCCGAGATTAGAGGCGGACGCGAGGCCGGGTGCACGTCACTTCCGGCGCCGACGGAGCCGGGCCTCGCCTGCTATGACGGCCAGCGCGGAGCTGCGGGGACGCAGGCCCGGAGTCGGGGTCGGAGTGGTGGTGACCAGCTGCAGGCACCCTCGGTGTGTCCTGCTAGGGAAGAGGAAAGGGTCGATTGGAGCAGGCAGTTTCCAGCTTCCTGGGGGCCATTTGGAGTTCGGGTAAGCAAGTCAACAGGGGCGAACGGCACGTGCACGGGAAACACGCGTCTGCGCCGTTGCGTGCTTGCGCGCGCCCGTGCGTCCTTGCCGACGCGCTTTGCGCGCGTGCTCTTGGTTCTCTGCGGCTGCAGCGGCCTTTCAGTCTCCCGCTCAAGAGGGTGTGCTGTGCTGCCCGGGAAGGATGCCCTCGCCTGGCGGAGCTGGGAGTTGTGAGCAGGAAAGTGGATGTTTCTGAACCTCCGCAGTCCATCTGGCCGCTTACGCCGCTTGCACGCTTCCCGTGCGGTGTAGACGCCCACTGGCCGGGTTGCACTGCCACCAGCAGATGCGCTGGTGAGCGTGCACCAGCTTCTTCCTCTGTAAAACAGGACCGTCAGTAGCACTGCTCTAAAGATTCCTTTCCACTTTTTTTTTTTTTTTTGCAGTACTGGGGCATGCACTCAGGGGCTATACCTTGAGCTATTCCACAGTCCATTTTTATGTTAGGTATTTTCGAGATAGGGTCTCGCGGAATTAATTGCCGGGGGCTGGCTTCCAACCGTGATCCTCCTGGATCTCTGTCTCCTGGGTAGCTAGGATTACAGGTGTGAGCCCCTGGCATCAGGCTCCTTTCCACCTTTTAAAGTGATAGGAATGTTGCAGGAATCTCAAGCTGAGATACAGGACACTGAACTGAGGCAGTTTAGCAAGAAGCATCGTTTTATTGTGCCGGCACAGAATCAGCGGACTCATGTCCAAAGGCTGAGCCTGGAGAACAAAGGGGTCTCACCTTATACACCATTGCAAGCAGGTTACAGAAGCAAAAAGCAAAGCTCAATCCACATATGGCTGCATGTGACTTCACTGGCTATTTCATTTCCCCAGGGCTATGTGACCTTCATGTTTCAGTTCTTTAAGTGTTATCTCTGCTTTGCCATCCTTTCCCCCTGCCTCATTATCAGAACACAACCTGTTTCTCTTTTGGTCTTCCTCCCTGCTACATCATTCCCCCCCCCACCCCCCTTGATGCTTGACCTAGGGTCAAAGAGCATCATCTTGATCTAGGGGTTTGTATTTCCATAGCATCATTGCACATGTGGCCGTTTTCCATAATATAGTGGCCTCCATAATGGTACTGATAGACCACAGTACTAGGAGGACCAGGGAGGTCAATATTAAACATGCTCCCAGGACAAGACCTGTTGCCCCTATCAGGGTTACAGATACGAGAAGTACAGTCAGGGATAGCTGTCCCATTTTGAAGGAGGGCTGTACGTTTTGACCTTTACCATGTAGCCCATGAAACAAGATCCCAGTAAGGGCAATAAGAACCTACATCATTGCATGGCCATGAGCTGTCTTCCCAGCACATATACTTATTATTGGATGTATAGGCTCTCTCCCAAGCTAGCTCCCCACAACCACAGCTGATGTATGGCTGCACATGCATCAAAGAGCATTGACACTGGTTTATCAGGACTAAACATCTGGGTGCAGCTGACGAGGTTCCCAGTGTGGCGGATGCTCCTGATCTCCAACCATTGCTCCAAGGGCAGTAAGTGGGGTTGAAGCAGATATGCTGGTTACCATGGGAGCACACTAGATAGGTGGTGTGGTTGTGAGTGTATGTCCCGATGACAAAGCCTGTACAGGAATAGTAAGTATGGAAAAGCAAAGTCCTAGTGACAACATTTCCTGCCTGAGTAGTGTGCATACATAGGTCACAGGAGGGCTCTGGAGCCACAAAAGGAAACAGATCAGTAACAGTAAACAGTAATTATGCATCCTGCCCAAAAGAGGTAAAAAAGAGCAAATAAAAACCTTTCACCATGAGCCCAGTTGGCAGGGGCACTTTCTGCCAAACCTATGAAGAAGACTAGGGTGAGAACTACAGCAACAGATACAGACAAGGGGTGAAAATGCATTACAGTGAAATAACTGGTGTGGAAAACAGTCCATTTGTCCTGTTGGAGAGTTGAGTCCTTAAGCTTCTGCCGTGTCAAGTAGACTAGTCAGCTTCCGAGGGTGACTAGCACAGGGCAGTTGTCCAGCTGTCCTTGGTCCCCTGTTGTTTCCTGGGAAGCAGAGTCCTGCAAAGGGAGGGTGTTCAGGTTCCGGAAGGTGATCTTCTATGGTGATGCCAGATCAAGGATGCACTCCCATTAGAGAGAAGCTGGCTTGACTCAACTGTGGTGGATCCAAGGAACAATTTTTGCTACTTTAACTGCGGTGGAAGTAGACAAAATAACAACAAAAGATCCCCTTCAATGAGGCTTTAACCTTTGGAAATTCCATTCCTTTACCCAGACAGCACCCCCTGGCCTGTAAGGGTGTGTGGGAGTTGTCAGGCTAACAGGAAATCTCTCCTGTACCCAGTCATTAATCTTTGAGAGAGTTCACCGGAGAGCCTGCATCTGTTGCCTCAAGGTGAGGTTATCTATTTCCTTAAGTTCCCCTGTATGCCCTTGATTAAGGGGGGTGGGCATCCACAAAGGACTTTAAAGGGTCAGAGCCCTGTCCATTTTGTGGGGCTAGACCTAATCCTCAGTAATGCTATGGGCAGTAGTTGATCTCACTGTAGATGGGTCTCCTGACACAGGTTTTGCTGTGATTTTAGGGTTCTATTCATATGCTCCACTTTTCCTGAACTCTGAGGGCAGTAGGCCATGTGCAACTTCTAGGTGATTTTTAAGCCTATAGCCATTAGCTGTACTGCCTCTGCCACAAATGCTGGCCCAGTTATCTGACCCAGTAGACACAGGTATTCCAAACCGAGGGATGATTTCCTTTAGTAGATATCTGGTCACTTCCTGGCCTTTTCAGTTTGTGTAGGGAAGACCTCCACCTATCCTGAGAAGGTACAAATAATCACCAACAGATACTTGTATCCTTGAATTCGTGGCATTTCACTGAAGTCCATGATCAAGTTTTTAAGAGGAGCTCCACCAACACTCTGAGCATGAGGGGCGCTCTTGTCTGGGATTATTTTTGGCACATAAACCACATCTTTTACATAGTGTCTTACTTATGCTGGAGAGCCTGGGGGCATAAAAATGTTGGGCCAGGGTGGTCTCAAGGGCTGAATGAGTTCCTTCATGGAACTGCTTGACAAATGTAGGACCAGCAATTCAGGTATGGCAATGTGCCATCAGCAAATTTCTACCATCTGTTTGGCAGAAAATTACCCTCCTCAGTCTTAAACCAAGCCTGTTTTTGTGGTATGTACCTCAGGTCCCATTTAGCTAAGGGGCATGGGAACAAGGCAGCTGTCAGATCAGTTGAGGTTGGTCCCCTTGTGAGGGCCACTTGTTTGGCCTCCTTATCTGCTTTCCAGTTTCCCTGAGCAATTGTTGTATATCCCTTCTGGTGCCCTCAGCAGTGTATAACTGCCACCTGTTTAGGGGCCCACAGAGCATCTAGCAGTTCGAGGATTTCCTGCCCATACTTGATACTTTTTCCTCTCAAGTTAATGAGCCCCCTCTCTCTCTCTGTAAGGCCTGGTGGACATGAATGTTGTGAAGGCATATTTGAAGTCAGTGTAAATATTTACTTGTATTCCTGCAGTGAGCTGGAGTGCCACATGAGGGCGATAAGCTCAGCCTTTTGTGCAGAAGTCCCTTACCGATAGCAAATGAGCCTCAGTTACTGAGTCCAAAGTAACCACTGCATAACCAGCGAAGTGTGTGCCATCCCAGACAAAGCTGGTGCCATCTGCGAAACATTCAACATCCGGATTGTTGGTTGATCGGTTAAAGCTGGCCAGCTTGAGAAAACCTCAACCATAACTTCTAAGCAGTCATGCTCCAGGGGGCCAGAGAAAATAGGCAATAGAGTGGCCGGGTTGAGAGTCTCAACAACCTCCAGCCGGATGTGCAGATTTTCATATAGCATACTCTGGTATTTGACCATCTGAGAATTAGCCAATAATTTCCCTTATATTCCATGAGTGTCAGGACAGAGTGGGGAACCCGGACAGTGAGTTCTTGCCCTAGGGTGAATTTATCTGTTTCTGTTACCAGGGCAGTGGTAGATGCCAAAGCACGCAGGCACAGCAGCCAGCCTTGGGAAACAGCAACAAGTTGCTTTGATAAATAGGCCACTGAGTAGTGCCAGAAACCTAGCTCACATGCCTACAGCTGTCCCCAGTCTCATGTACATATAGGAAGAAGGGCTTCATCACATCTGGCTGGCCTAGAGCAGGGGCATTCATGAGTGCCTTCTTGATTTTTTTAAAGGCTTCCTCTTGTTCTCTTCCTCATACCAAAAGCTCCCATTCTCCCCACTTTGTGGCTTCATATAGGGATTTGGCCAAGAGCAAGTAGTTAGGTATTCAGATTTGACAGAAACCTGCAGCTCCCAAAAATTCTGTGATTTGCCTGTGGGTCTTAGAGGCTGGGTGGAATATACAGCCTGTTTCCTTTCAGAGCCAAGCCTGCACTGTCCCTGGGACAGGTGAAAGCCAACTTATTTGACAGTGTTTTGGCAAATATGGGCCTTTTTCCTAGAGACTTTGTATCCTGCCTCCGATAAAAGAGAAAGGAGAAGGTGTGTCCCTTCTGTACAGTCCTCCCTAGTTGGTCCAGCCAGCAGGAGGTCATCCACATACTGGAGAAGTGTGCAGCTATGCTGGTCAGCTGAGAATCCTTTTAGGTCAGATGCCAGGGCAGTTCCAGAAATAGTGGGTGAATTTTTGAAACCTTGTGGCAGTTGAGTGCACGTTAGTTGCCCCCTTTCCCCAGTGTTAGGATTTTTCCCATTGGAAGGCAAAAATGGGCTGGCTCGATGGGGCCAGGCAGATGCAGAAGAATGCATCTTTTAGATCTAGGCAAGTAAAAAACTTTGCCTCAGCTGGGACAAGACCAAAAAGCATGTATGGATTTGGGACTATGGGGTGCAAAGTGACAGTTACTGAATTTACTGCCTGGAAGTCCTGAAATCCTCAGTCCCTGGTTTCTGGACTGGTAATAAGGGTGTGTTCCAGGGTGACTGACAAGGTCAGAGGATCCCATATTTTAAGAGTC